AGCGTGGTGTTTCCATTGTTTCCTTGTCCTTGTGTTTCTGTTTTCTTTATTTTGGTTGGCTTTTGTGTGTTTTGCCTCTGGTTCTTCTTGTTTTATATTATATATTTCAGTTCTGAATCTTTGGAGCATGGTGAACATTACGAATATGTAAAGGATAGTTAAATATATACAGTTATCCGTTTTCTTCTGCGCATGCCTTATCTCTATTCCTTTTCGCGAATGTGGATCCCCCCACCCCCTTTTCAGTCATTGTTATCTCAATTTGTCACTATGCATGCTGAACGTTCATTACTATCTTGTTATAACAATTCTCTTCTTGTTATTTAAGCTTATGCCCTGTTCTTAGTAAGGGTTGTACTCCTCTGCTTCTATTTGTCCAATAGTCACTTTATTCTTAATTAGGGTTTTGGTTTTCTTTGGGTTTTTTGTTTTTTGTTGTTGTTGTTGTTGTTTTTTTTTTTTGTCATTTTGTTTTAGGGGAATCCCTTTCAGTATTTCCTGTAGTGTAGACCTTGTAGTGGAGAATTTCCCCAATTTTGTATGTCTGGAAAAGTCTTAAATTCGCCTTCGTATCTAAAGGAGAGCTTAGCTGGATACATTATTCTAGGCTGGTCATTCCTTTCACTTAGTAGTTTAAATATTTGATTCCATTCCTTTCTGGCTTGTAAAGTCTGCGCTAAGTCCGAGGATAATCTAATGGGTTTTCCTTTATAAGTTAACGTTTTCTTCTCCCTGGCTGCCCTGAGAATTCTGTCTGTCATTGATTTTTGATAATTTTAATACAATGTGTCTTGGTGAAGGCCTTTTTGGGTTGAGATAATTGAGTGTTCTGTTGACTTCTTGATTTCCAAGCTCCAGCTCATTCCTTAGATTTGGGGAATTCTCATCCGCTATTTGTCTGAAAATGCTTTCTAGTCCCTGCATCTTTTCCTCACCTTCGGTAATGCCCATTGTTCTTATGTTTCCTCTCTTGATGGTATCAGCTCGTTCTTGTGTTTCTCTTTCATTATTTTTCATTCTTTGGTTTCTCTCTTCTTCCTTCTGATCTATTTCTAGATTCCTGTCTTAGATATCACTGATCCTTTCCTCCATTTGGTCGACTCTATTTCCCAAGCTTGCTATTTCATTTTTTAACTTCTGCAGTGTGCTTTTTTTTTTTAATCTCCAAAAGTTCTATTTGGTTCTTTTTGAGCGTTTCAATCTCCTTGCTCTGCTCATCTAGCTGTTTTTGCAATTTCTGAAATTATTGATACGACTCGTTTCGGAATTCACTGCGTTTTTTCAGAAGTACCTTCCTGAATTCTCTGTCATTTCAGTTGCATATTTCTATGTCTGTAAGCTCATTTTCTGGAGACTTTTCTCTTTCTTTCTGAGATGCCTTATCACCTTGGTTGTTCGTGGTGTTTAATGGACTATTTCT